GACGGAAATGAACGAGCACACGTTTCGCATCTCAACGGACATTTGTGAATCCAATGAACTCGCGACATGTCAAACCTTACCTACAAATAATATGTTTCATGGTGCGACCGTTCGGTGTAGCGTCAACGTCGTGTGTGCGGACGTTGGACTATTTCGTCGTATCGGACATTTTCATGTAAACAAGAGCGGCTGATGGTTGCAGCGATGCAGATGAAGCATCAGCCCACCCACTGTAATGGACCAGAAGTGCAGCACCGACGCGACTTAACCAATTGAACCCGACGACATGGGCGGTGAGGAAGTATCTGCAACACCTTGAGAAAAGCTCTCAGCAGTCTGAGTCGCCTATCGTGCAATGTTCAAAAAGTACTATATAAACGCGGACAAAGATACGGGCAACGATACATGACGCAGAAAGCGCAATCAAGATATAAGCATTTGCTACGCTCGAGCGCAGGTGTTTGGCCCTCCGCCTTCCGCTATATGACGAACGTTGCAAATTCGTCTCGCTCGACACAAACTAATGTGGCTTCGAAGCGCGAGCAAGGACCCTTTCGAGGCAGAATATCTACCGCGCGTGACGACCAGGAGACGCCTGCCTAGCAGCGATCTCTGCTGGTAAGCATTGTACTAAAGCGATTTTGACATTGTGGGTACGTATATAAATGCCGCCCACGTTTCGCCAAGAAGGTACGCAAAAACGATGGTGCTCAACTCTCATAAGCAGTTATACAAGCCATTCAACGGCAGCTTCGTCCAGGCGGTCAACGACAACGTGTACAAGCATCGCACATCTGGAGATTGACAAAAAGCCGCGCCATCGCATGCGCGGATGTTACACTTGAGTCGCGCACGATCGGATTATTGGCAGACTGCGATCGCGCGGTAGTGACAGATGATCCTATGGCGATGGTGCTATCCTTACCTTGCGCATCCGGCACTCATGATACTCGTTCAGTTGCACGGCGACATGGGCGAACAAAACCTTTGACGGCGGCGGTGCCATGCAACGAAGCAGCGTAATCGGCTTTTTAGGGGCACGTGGATCGGAAACCGGTGATAAAGAGTCTTGTGGAGGGTTTTAGGGCCAACTCACGCCGCGACGCGCATACCCGACTAACGAGAGACCCGACGAAGGCACGGCAAGAATACGTTATCGAGATCTGAAAAATACCCAGTGACAACTGGTCCTGATCGCATGGAGTGTACAGTACTGGATATATTGTCGTATGGGCTGTCCGATAGCTGCTACTGCGTCGCTAGACATCAGGACATGTGGAGAGCCTTCGTGCACAAATCACAAGACGTCATCAAGGTTGCGTGCTTCGTTCCGAAACGCTACTGGACATGACCAATTACGAGATAGGCGATCCGAGATGTTTCCAGCGATTGGGAGATATGCGGAACAAGCTCCCATACCAGCTCTTGTAGGGCGGACAGACTCGTGGCGACGACCGCAATGCTCGCTGTCTCGTGCGCTCGTCTGTGGCTCCATGGTAAGGTAGACGCTTGTTAAGTGATGCTGCGTGCGATCACAAACGAAACGGACGTTTGCGAAACTGCGCAGCAGGTAAGTGATACGGGACTCTACGGTGAGCTGGACGCCACATTCCCGCGAATTGATCACAAGACAACGGTGCTGATGGAAACGCGGGTTTGGAACGCCCAAGAGCGCTCGTGCTCGATGTTAGCGCCAGGCGGCTGCCTAATTTCGATAATGACGGGTCAAAGATAGCTTAGGACCAAGAGGGCTGGCATGTTGATGGTTCGGCTCGACACAGACACTCGTGCAGACGGCGAATACTTAGCGTATCGCACGTAATACATTTACTGGACGAGCACGAACAACACGGGTGAGTGCTGGGACTCGTCCACGGACTTTGCTGAACGAGCGTGGCAGGCTGCACTCTGCTTCACGTGGTCGACGACAATGCCATCGTGTTTCAGCATAAGCGGCCAAAAAGGCTTCGACTTCGGCAACCGTACAGTAGAGTGCATCGCTCGCGTCGTCGACGTGCGGACGGCCTCGACAAACGGAGATGGATGGACGCAACGCTACCGGATGCACAACGAGATAGCGGCAGAGCCGCCAACATTGCAGCATCATCGACTCACGCCGAGGACTACAAAGCTATGATTGCGGATCTTGCAAACCTTTTCGCCACAAACGTCAGGCAATGGGCCTTCGCTAGCTTGACACCACGTCCAAACGTCGCAGTGGCAGGCAGCCTGGAAGTAGAAACAAGTCAACAACACCAAATATCTGCATGTTCGATGCAATACTGATCGACGCTCATCGTCTACTGCTGTCGACGACGCAAGCACGAGATCTATATGCAGAGCGCGAAAGGAAGCGTGGGTATCTAAAATAGTGAGCATCTCTCTTGATGTCCTGATGCGCCCCATATTATCGCCTTCGCTACACCTGCAATTTTGCAAATTGGTACAATGAGCACTTGCAGTCTCTACTTCGCCAAAACGCACCTGACAACGCATCGCCTTTGCCTTCACATGTTTCTACAGCGACGGACTTGACATTCACATTGACGCTTATTTTCTATAAAAGTTGTTCGCTGAGACCACTGAGCGTATAGCTGTTTGCACCTCACCACACGTGCTTGTTTCCGCTCCAATATTCCTCGCCGTTGGCGATCGGCTTTGCCACCATACTACACTTGCTAGAACGGATACGAATTGAGGGCGCCAAACAAGTTGTACGAAGCAGGGCAACAAGGGTACGGGGTCTGACGCGTCATTCAAAGTAAGACACTGCAGAACAACAAAGTCGACGCTCAACGCATCCGACAAACATTGCAAAGACTTTCGTGGTCGTCAAACATGGATCCGGGTGAGACCAATAGAGTGTGCGCACATGCGCACATCACTGCGCTTCACGGAGCAGTAATACATTACAAGCGTAGAACAACAAAAGACCAGCCTGCTCAGCTATATACTAGACGACGACCTCCACCAGAATCGGCCAGCGTAGAATCGGCAAGGCGTAAGTTAACACCTGATGTCTCACACTCATGTTCTCATGTTCGCAGTCCCCAAAAGTTGCACAGGGATCTCCAGAAGTTTGACTGACTAAGCATGTAGCACGTCGAGATCCTCTCGAATGTATTTGATGAGCGGGTAATGAAAGTTGTAGCTGTGGCTTTGATTATACAATACAATTCCATTCCATCTTACTTTTGCTTCAGTCCCTTGGTGCCAGCAACCTCTCTAGCATCTGGCCAACCGCAAGAGTGTGTATCTGTCAAGGTTCTGTAAAGCACATCAACATATCGCAACTGTCGACCTGTTATGCGTTTATCATCTGGCTGCAAACACACCATCACTAACTTTGCTTCACATGCACCAACGAACACTGTAAACGGCATGGCATAGCAGGTACCTCTGGTTGGCCATGGTCGTCGGGTCACGACAGAAAGCAAGAGTAAAAGATGCAGCAGTTTTATCAGTCCAAAGCGTCTTGCGTCGTGTACCACATCCTCTCGCAATCGACGACATTAAGATTTAGCTGCGTGTCTTGGATGTTGTCCCAAGCGCGTGTCATGACGAAGGCGGATGGTCCACTACAATAGATCTGCACGGTCATTTGCACTGCTATGCAGCTCGAGGTGAATGTGTCTACTGCATCGATTGCTTACTAGTAAAGCTTCTTATCGACAGATCGATCGGACCTATGTTCTCCACAAGCAAATTGCGGATGCTATCAGCGTGTCAATATATCCCCGTGCCCTCCTGAGCAGTAGACCATTCTGCTCATCAAGGGCGCTCGCTTCGCTGTCTGCTACCGCACTTGGCTCGGTGCCAACGCGTGGATGATCGTCTCTGTTGCTTACCATTAGTAATGAATCTGCACATCGAGCAAAACACGACAGCATACTACCCTTTAGCAACGGCGTCCTCTGTGATTGGTGAGCATATGCACTGTCGCCCGCCGTATGGTCTCTGTGGATCAAAGAGGTTACTGACGTCGGAAAAATCCAGCGTCTGCTTCTAATCGCAGACGCAAGCCGAGCAGAGAGACTACAGCGGCCAAAAGCAGTGTTAAAGTAGCTGCAGAGTCCCCTGCAGCTGGTCGTAGTTCCCAGGTCATGTCGAAACTGCTTCTTCCAGCAATCTGTAGGCCAGAGACCTTACGTCTCTCATGCTCTACGACCCGACACTTTAGCTCAGATCGCGGGGCTCCTGTTGTACATCACTAATAATGGAAGCATGACATAGTTGTGGAGAAACAACACTTTGTCCAATCCAGCACCGGTCTTGAATTTTTGTAATACTCTAACGCACCCCCATCGATGTTCTAACACCCAATGCTTCTGTTATCAAGTGCTTTCGGAGTATCGTCGCTCCTGAGCGCCCATTCCATGCACTGAGTCTAAGAATGAGCTGTCGGGTTGTACGGGTAGAAACGCTCTTTGAGTACTGTTACTGCGCAGTCTTGACGAAGGGGATCATTACACATTTATGACGAGTATTTGTCGCACCGATGTACACTGCATGAACAATATGGTCGTTGCTGGTAGATGCCAGACGACCGTCTCATGTCTTCGAAACAAGCTTCTTATTCGTTCTTGTCATCCTAGCGTCATGCCATCGAACACAGCTGCTTTCATATATGCAAACGTATTGACAAACAGCTGACCTCTGGGGCTCTGTAAACTGTCTAGCGAGTGACATTCCACTCTCACAGCGTTCGGCTGATCCGGCCATGCTACCAGCCTGGTCGTAAAGCGTGTTGAGTAATATACTCACGCTTTCTCTCTGCCACAAGTTGAGCGAGCTTATGCTCCGACTTGTTGACCGACTCTATTCGGTTCAGAACACTTGTCACAGTACGCGTGCGTGGGTGCACTCCATCCCCATGCACCAAACTTCCTTCATAACTCGAACGTCTTGCGCGAAGGCGACAAGGGTCCCACGCTCGGCTGTACAGTTGAGCTTCCCCATTAGACGCTCCTACGTTCTACTCTCCGTCCGACCAGTCATTGATGACAAATTTCCAGCAACGACCCGCCAGCGCATCTACCATCCGAGCTCGTGACGGCAAGTACACGCTCTTTCTACGCGTGCACTCTGCTCGAGGTCTGCCTGTGTTGGCGAAAAACTTTTACTGCAAACTCTATATCGGTGATACAGCCATAGCTGGTGGTTTTGGCCGGGCGAAAACACTTATTGGACTCGACACGACACAAGGCGGCAGGCACCAAACGTTTCATACGAGAGTGCAGTCGACAGCATCGCGGGCATATGTCGAGTGGAATGAAAAGTTCCAGCTCAACGTGAGTGATCCTCTTACTGACGTGTTGACGATTCGAGTGAAGAACCACATCATGTTCTACAGTCCGACAGTTGGGGCGCGTGTCGTTCACTTGCGGCAATTGTCACTCGGGTCGACAGTGGACGAATGGTTTCCATTGCTGAAAAACGATAGGGCAGGTGGGCAGATAAGACTTCAGCTCTGTCTGCAGGAAACGGCTGGCGCACCTGTGCCAGCACGTCGTTATTCGCAAGCTAATGTTGAAATGGTTCAGAGGTTGATGTTTCAATATCGCGATGTAGAAGAAGCTGACCGACGGGAGTCGGATGCGTATCATCAGAGAAGGATTGAGGACGGCACCGGCAGCGGACTGTAAGAGCTTAAGGACTGGTACGAAATGTGAGGGGGGTCATCCGTGGAGATGCAAGTACAGCTGGAAGAGCAACAGGGTCTTGTGAGGATCATGTATCAAGACGTGCTGCCAACTTTGGAGAGCGAGGAGCACGGAAGGAAGCGAACTTGGACCTACTAATGAGTTCTAGAAATCCACGAGGGGGCAATAGAGAAGACAGAGGAATGGGCACAGCAGTGGTTGTGTTAGAAAATGAGAATGAAAACGCGGTAGCTGTCCCGCACAAATTGACGCTTGTTGTTGCTGCAGCATAGATCTCTGGCAGAGTGCCTTGGTGTAAATAGATCCGCGATAGTGCACGCCATATTCCATGCTATTTTTGATGTGTTAACGATGTCGTATAAAGCGCGTGGATCAAACATGGGATGCCCACAACCAACTCCGTCTTTGTTGCTGTCCAGATATCGTAGAGCGCGGGTGCAAGAAAGATCTCCCTGCATCAAGTAATTTGCCATGCAAGTATTGTTGCGAAAGCTCACAAATTTGTCGGAGTGATACCAGCAACATACGTCGGACTTTGCTCACTCACTTAATATCTGCATCAGAATCTGGACTCAGGAGATCGCGTTGTATTGAAGTAGTAAAGCTACAAGAGGATGTCGACATGTGAACTACTTCATTTCGTAGGCAAGAGTAGCCGATGACATGAACGAAATGCACGTTGCCGCTCTCATCTTCGACAAGATATAGGAACGCATGAAAGATTTGATCGATAGCCAAATTGCGCATGTGTCAACGTTATCAGAAGCATTAAGGCAAATGTTCTTGCTATCGCTGTCGCCTATCTTTTCCTCGTTGGAAGAGGGTGTTATCTACGTAGTACGCATGATCGCGGGGTAGCTTGGACAATCAATTATAATATGAACCCTTTGCATCCCTGGCAAACTGAAAGGAAGCTTGTCAACAACAGCAGTGATGTTTATCAAAAACTTGAATGGCACACGAAAGCAAAAAAAGTACAATGTCAACACCATTGACTCTGCTGTTGATGATCTCGTACATTGATGCATCGTAGTATTGGTCAGAGGCAAGAATACACCAACATATCGCCGTGGAACGATCGCGTCAACAAAGACGGTCGAGCGGTAGAAGCTCGACGTTGGAACACATCGAACGGAACATATTCGACTTCCTCTTCTACCGCAAAAGCCTTATCAGACACGTTGCTTTAAGCAATATTGCAATCTCTACAAGCATTGCGTAAATCTATGCCGACCGCCCTTGTGCTTGTACCTTCTCTTGGGATAGCAATCCCCACACAAATCGTAATCGAAGCAATTACTACGAGCACAATTAACGGTCACAACATCAGTTACGTGGCTCAACGCAGCTGTCCAAACAAGCAAAACATGCTGGCTACACTTTACTTACTTGCAACGGTAGTGACCAATCTTGCTCGTCGATCCAGGCCCCGTATATTCGGTTTCGATGCGCTCTTCACACCGATTACTGTAACCGCATTCCACACATTAGTCGTACAAGACACAGCCACTCAAATATAATGCCAACTCACCACACAATATCCTCCTCAACTTCCTCTTCTTCCTCTTCCTCCTCTTCGTCCTCCTCCTCCTCGTATTCTTTGTTCATACCTGCCGCGAGTTTGTTCTTGCAATGGCATTCCCCAAAACAATGGATGCTGTGGCCGGTCGACCCAAAATGTGAAAGGATCTGGCTGCTGTGCATCACAGGTTTTTTCCTTGTTGCTTTGATCGCTCTAAAGTCCAGGTCCCAACCAGCTTGGCTGCAAATATAACGCGTAATATCGTCGCAATCGCCCAATAGCGACATGTCAAACTCCTCTTCGTCATCTGTCGCGTCCGTAGTGTGTCTTGTTCGACTCACTCGTTTTCCATCCGTCGGGAGCTTGTTCGACCTTATCTTCTTTCTCTTCAGTATAGTCTTGTTGATCACCACCTGAGGTATGTGTGACGGTAAGTACCCTGGGATCTCCATGACCGGAGCAACTTTGAGCGACGTTCCCATGACTAGAAGCAGGTCTGCTTGTAAGCGGTCTTTCGTTATCGTCGTGCTGACTTTATCGTCCAGCATCTCACCAAAGAACGTAATCTCAGGCTTCAATACGCCGCGACAGTCCAGCTCTGGGCACGACGGAATAACCCCTGCCTGAATCGTTGGCATCAAAGTGCTCGTTGGTACACGCTTCTTGCACCTCATGCACGCTGAATAGGCAAAGCTCCCATGGCAGGAAATGCACCTTTTCACTCCGGCAGCTTGTTCCAACCCATCAATGTTTTGCGTGTACACGCGCAACAACTTTTTCTTGTCTTGCAGCAGCTTCAAGAACCAATGCGTTGGCGACGGCTTGGGTGAATTGGCGAATGCGTTGCGCACCACTTCAAAAAATGGTGCCGGGTCGTCCCGAAAGTAGTCGATTTGGAACAGACATTCCGGTTCCGGTAGCACCACGTCCATTTTTCGTGCCATAGCATAGATGCCGTCTTTTGACCGAAAGTCCGGGATGCCACACGATACACTGATTCCAGCACCAGCTATGACGACAATTTTCTTGGCCTTCTTGAGCACCTGTACAAAGTCGGCGATAGAGTCCAGCGTCTTGCGAGGTAAAGAGCTGAGCGAGTCCGCCTTTGCTTCCTGAAGACACTCGTAGCAGCTCGTGTTGCCTAGAATGGACGCCGACTGATATGGTCGGCCACATGCTCCATGGTACCTGCATTGACAGGACAGGACACCTTTTAATACATGGGATAGTGCACGGTGTCTCTGTCTAGACAGAGCCAACGTCAAGGCTCTAGTAGAAAGGGAAATGATGACCTACAATCTTGAACAGCTGTCACACTTCAGCATAGTGTTTTTATAAGTTCGGGACGGTCGGTGGCAGATAAAGCACAGGGCCGAGTGTTTGCGCCGCTTTTTCTTCTGAGAGCCGTAACTTTCGTCGTCCGAGTCGTCGTCCGAGGAAAACTCTGGAATTTGCTGGCCCGAAGATAGAACGGCATAGTCCACGTCGGTTCGTTTGGCCTTTCGGGCGAGACGATCGGGTACCGCCATTCGGAATTTTGTTGTTTGGTTCCGAGTTTCTTAATGGAGGTGAATCTGCGAGTGAGGACTCGTATTGAGGGGTTTGTTTCACTAAGAAAAATCTAATAAAAAACGACCATGTCCGCCGAAGCATTCCGCTAAGTACGATTACGAGACGAGCAAGCGCGCTCAGACCATCGACTGGGATGGGAGAGGAAGTGAAGCTCAGCGAGAGTGAGTGAGTGCCACGTAGTACACACACGTTGAGGTATTGACAATTTCCACGCATTCGATCAATTTCCATCTCGATCATTGCGACCATTGCTTCATGATATAAAATCATTGTATACAGGCGTTTGTGCTCGGCGAACGTCATGGTGAAGCATCGCGATTGATACGCCGAGCAAAAGTCGAGGTTGCTCCGTGCTTTGCTCAAACGCTATCTGACGCGACGACTACGACGATCGTGTTTTGAAGAAAGAAGGTCGGTTCACTCGCGTATACATAGTTTCATGTAGAATACAGGTGCGTCCAGCGTAGAGCTGCCACGGTCGTACGATTAAAAGAACCTCTTACATGTCGCGAAGAAACATTTGCAGTTGTCTGGTCCTGCTCACGGGTCACGCTCTTACTTTGTCAATCATCGATCAGGAGATATTCGTGAAAGTCATATTTGATTTGTATAAGCACTATGCGATGTATGCCAAGCTCAATATAGGGTTAAAAATGAATGCAACGCCATGCTTCCAACGTGTGGTTTGTCAGTGCTCGCTCACATAGCACAGTGAAAGGAGCGCGCCCCGCATTCAAACTAGTCTTTCTGAACATTTGTTAGTGAACTTCATATAAACTTAAGCACGTTAAAATTAAGTTCCAAGATCCGGTACAATTCAAATTGTCTATGGTACCCCCAGAGCTTTAGCATCGCAAGTCACAGGATATCGCTTTCAAAGTACAATACCCACACACTGGCTTTTCTCGACTGCACCTAACAGCCGATGTCGTAGCGGGATAAAGCGTTTCAAGTTTTTATGCAGCCTGTTTACGTCAAAGGCTCGGTAAGTCTTTATGACCGGTCCGTGACTTCGATGACACAAAACTGCCGCTCGGAGCGAGCGCCATTCATGGGGTCAGAATTTACACTGATCGCCGCCCCATCATTTGGTATATGTCCTAACGTTATCTGCCGTGGATGGTGTTATGCGTGGCCGCAAAACGGCGAGAATACAATGTGCTCGGAAAAAACGGGAAGCATTTGGGCGCGAGCTAATCCTCGCGATATTATCAACTGACGCGAACCTCGCACAGACAAACAATGGGACGAACGTCGCAACCGCCTAGACTAGAAGCAACCATTTAGCGAACGCAGAGGTATTCAAATCAAAAATGCCATTTGATGCCGGTATTTGTCCGGTAGCTCGCACTCGTACAGACTGCTCGTTTCTGGTAATCGTTGTTACGTGCGTCGCACACATATTACACCTCTATGTGCCTGTCTTGCATTTGTGTCCGTAAAGCATTTATAGACGTCAATATTAGCAATGATCGTCAAGTCGAAGTGCGACGAACACTGACATCCGTGCAATGTCTCTAACTTGAACGCAAAAACGCAGGGATTGCTGATGACCCAACAACGACGGGACGGCTAGTATTTTTAGTCTATTCTATCGATGCAAAGGACTATTACTTACCTAGGCACTACCATCTCGCTATAGAGCGTTTTAATTGCGAACGTTCGTATCATCATAGATTCCGGTAAGGATGCTTATCGCGTACCAGGAGGTGCCACTGGGTTACGATTGACACTTAATGCGTCTTGTCGGCATCAACCGTTCCGGTTCAAGTATAGCTACAGCGAGAAGGATCGATGAGCATGATTACCTAGACGACCATACGTTTCGGGATAACAGCAGGTTTGGGCCTGCAACCAAAGGGATTGGCGGACCTGTCGACCACGTCGATAGGTCCACCAATTCCACTTTGCCGCCGCGAATCGAGCAGCCCTACCACGCTCATTCTTGTTCACATATACGCAAACTCATGGTCGCTGACCAACACCGAACCTGGAATACCACAAAGTAACTTGATTGGGGCTCAGCGTCCATGCTATGGTGTGACATTCCGGCCCCATTGTCTCCGGCGATTCGCGCAATGCCAGAGCTACGCACGCGTCGTTGTACATGGGGCTTGGCTTGTCACTGCCCGCTCGAGATTGCGTCATGACTCAGACATGCCTCAATATCGAAATCGAAGCTCAGCTCGTTTGCCCTCCACTACTTGGTCATCAGCATCGCTTTGTCGGAACAGAACGATTTTGATGACCAAGTAGTGGAGGGCCGTCGAAGTACTTGAGACCACCGCTTTACTCGACTGTAAGCATGAAGCTGCGCTTCACCGACTGTCCTACTTTTGTAGCGTGGGTAACAAATCGCTTAAGGATGACAAAATTGGAAGTGCTTGGGAGGTAACATGACCCCTACCTATCGTCACAATCAAAGAAGCAGTAACGACTGGACGCACGGTGTCGTTTCAGTGTGCTTGAGAGCCTTCTTTGTTGGCGTCCTTTTGTATTTGTAGAACATGGAGGCGCAGGAAGCAACAGGAGCAACATTATAACGAGTATCAGCCCAATAACGGGAAGTGCTTGCAATTCTGCTGCTACAAATCCGACCACTTGTTTATGTTTGGCAGCTGACTATCGAAGGATAGGAAGTGTATTATCAAGAAAGGCGGGTGTGCAAAACCATGATAAAGGACTTTCGCCTTTCCAGCGGGAAATCTTTGTCGCACGAGAACAGATGTCTCATAGCGAGCAAGAGACCGAGGAAATTCGCAGATGAGTGGCCAGCAACGAGACGTAGATGGTGTCGGCGATGTGTCACGCGTGCGCTTTGTTGCAGCATAATCTACAATTGTTTTCGAGAACTTATTTTTGTTTTAGTCTACCACGTCGCTGTTCATGCGTCGTCTCGGCTCGCAGACTAATTGTAAGCCAACTTTGGCCGTTCACTCCATTTGGAAGCCTGATAGACAGTGGTGCGTACTCAACCCATACTATACATGCCACTTAGCAAAAGCGCCCTCTAGTATGCGAAGAATCATATGCAACAAAACTGCCGCACGCTGACCATCACTCCTTGTCTGAGCTCAACCATGCCACCGGTATGATCGTGCGTTTTGACACGGTTGCTTTTTGTGTCCGTTCTCCAGTTGTGCATACGAGTAGGATGATGAAATGTTTGATAATTTAATATTGGTATTCGCATCTAATTTTGATCAGAACTTTTCGAGATAAACAAGAATGGCATATCCGTCCATGGATAATAACCTCGTCGAATATGATACCTTGCAGGATTTTGCTTCGTTCCATTGTCCTATACTACCTTTATAAAAACATGTTCAATATTCGACATTTACACTAGTGGACAAAGTACAGCACTTGTGCCGCAACGACAATACCCCAAATTACTGATGACTGATGGCCTCGAGACTGCGATCAAAAACTAGAGCGACTGACGACAGCTTGTTTATAGAACCAACTTGACTACAACGCGTCACATCGTTGTGTGCGCGACATTGCTACGATGAGGTCTAGGAAGGAATTATCGCAGCACAAGCAATTACCTTACCGCAATGGTTAATAAACGTCACTATAACGGGGTGAGCACGTAACACATTAATGATACGAATGTATCAATTTTTCAATATTAGATTTCTAGATAATGTCCAGTTAACAGTACTCGAGAAGAGGTAGTATTGGCGGAAAACGACCCCTCGGGTTTAAATTATTGTATGATCCACTCGATGGTTGATGTACACAGTACATTAATCAGATTAACCACTAATCGCTACTGAACGCGCAATGGGTGGTGAGCACGAAATCAACATAGGAGATTGTAGTGTAACAGATCAAGACAAAAATGGTTAAATAAGGAGCCTTAACTCTTTTATATACAGTTCTAGTTTTTCCTTTAACAGAGCTTTCGAGTTATGTTTACTTCCTCGCGCTTCCTCACGCCACATGGAAGTGACTTCGGGAGTACGAACCCTTGCGTTCCATTAACACAAGGTCTTACCAGTCATCTGGTAAGACCGTGCTCGGTTACACCTGGTAGCACTTCGTAGTCCGTCCAACGACCACGACCACCACATTTGACATAACATGTTGTATGAAGAATAAAGCTTTTTCGTTACTCGTGAAGTCTTTAAGCATTTGAGTGAAATAAATGAAGTGCGGTAGAACGTTTGAGTTCTACCGTAGGTGAAAACGTCATTAGCGCCATGTTGGAGTCTCTTGACAGAGACCAGCAACATACCGCTATCGGCGGGTTCATTCAAAATTAACTTGTCGACAATATAGAGAATGTAGCCTTGCTTCACCTGCAAGGCTCTCAACAGGCCGAGAAGTTGACGGATCTAGGTACTAAACAAATGGATATGTTGAGACAGCAGCAATACGAATCTGCTGCGACCGAGACGACACACACGTGTCGTCCCGAAATCTTGAAGGTTGATATCTCCAAGCACAGTAGAGTCGAGGAAGACTCCCTGTTGGTATGATTTCTCTATCAAGACATAGCCATAAAGGCACGTCCCATCGACGATGAGCAAATGAAATTCACATTTGCTCAAACTCACTTGGCAGGACGTACTAGACTTGGGTATTAGGGCTGGAGATGAGCGACCCATATGCTTTTAAGTGGCTGGAAGCCTTCAAGACCCGGCTCAAACAAACCTTTGATCCGCCGCGGTCTGAATCCAGGGATCGATCAGAGCTCCTGAAGCTCAAGCAGGGTAAGCGTGATGTGCACGCTTACGCTCAGCATATACGACTCCTCGCGAGTATCATAACTGCTAACACAGTACATGAAAGCACGCTATTTACTGTGTTCATGCAAGGGCTAGCAGAAGGCCCCGTCAGGAACCACCTGTTATTACGATTAGAGCTGGATACGCTTGAACAAGCAATCGCAGCTGCGAAACAGGAAGACTCTAGCATGAGACAGGCGCATGCTTTATCGAGCTCTTAT